CTTTCTTTCTTTCTTTCTTTCTTTCTTTCTTTCTTTCTTTCTTTCTTTCTTCTTTTGTTTTTTAGACCTCCTGGTTGTATCAACATATACACTCTCAGGTACATCACCAGCACTATACCTGCTTGCCTGAGGCCAGGCATCCCACCATAATGGTGATGAACTAACCATTTAAAACTATAAGCAAGGCCCCAGTTAAATCTTCTTTATAAGATGTCTTGGGCATAGTGTCTCCTCATGGTAATAAAAAGTACCAAAGACCCAAAACGACCTTAGATCAAATGCCAATCATTTGTATTGTGTATGGAATCTCCATTAACTTCTCAGATTTCACCTTTCATCTGGGTTTTCAAAATCACTGCCTTTGAATACATCCTGCTAAGCCCTAGAGTTGGCTGCTGCTCAAAGAAAACATAGGCTCAAGTGATGACTAACTGAGATTATCCACTTCGAAATAAGATAAGAGTCCAATTTTGTTAACTTTACTGCTGTAATGATTACCAAAGTAGAAAGTTATAATCTTATCTGTACAACCAGAACATTAAGAAGTAAGGAAATATCAACTACTACAAAGAAAAGACTTTAATTAAAAACAACAACAGTAACAACAAAAATCCCCCCAAAATAGTATCAGGTAGAAAAGCAATTGAATTCTATAAATAGTTTATATACTGTGTTGGTTAATGTTCCTCTCCCCCCTCTTTCTGCTTTTTCTTAGATATTTTTGGCAGCCCTCTCATTCACCTACATATGCAAAGGACTAGGTGGAGTCCTTATTAAAAGTTCCATCACTCAGATAGAAAGAAGATTTGACATACCATCTTCCATTTCTGGTTTGATTGATGGAGGCTTTGAAATTGGTAATGTTTATTTCTATATAACCACCAGACTTACAGAGGGAAAATTGAGTCCAGTCATACACTGTACCCATGTTTATCAACCAGAGATAACTGTCCTTTCTGAAAAAATACAGCAATATCATTTTTGTTGTCATGTCTTGGGAAGCAGTGCTGCTGATGCCTAGAAGTTAAAATCAGTGATATTACTGAATCCTCTACAAAGTGATGACCAACTGCTCTGCAAAGAGGATTTTGAAGGATTGGTTTTACACAGACACGTTGCTTTCAAGCTTACTCTTGGGAGACTTACTCTTTCCTCTCTCAAGACCAGAGATAAAGAAAAGTTGAGGAGCCATATTGCCTTTGATTTAAAGAGTGAAGAAGAGCTTTGGAAAGATCGGTGTTGTATCTCTGCTCTTTACCTCCCTGGAGGATTGCTCTACAGCACTGTAGATGTTACTCTGCTGCCTTCACTTTAGTTTTCACATCTTCTTCCATGATACTAAAGCTCTGTTCAGTTGAGAGAAGGGATTCTCTTCTAACCTCTTGAAGCAGAAGGTTGTTGCATCTGCCCCTACTTCTTTATATTTTTCTCTTTAATTATTTGAAGACCCTCACTATTATGTCTATCATATAGATTTCCAACAATTCCTACAAATTTGAGGGTCATTTTCCTTAAAACTTGACTTAGGGTATGTTTAATCCAATATTTTTTTATAAATAATTACATAAGGAATTACCCATCTGCCTTTCATCATGGATCCTAAAACTTTTTTGGTGCAAAAGATATCATGTATATATATACGTGTATATGTGTATATGTATGTATGTATGTGTATATATATATATATATATATATATATATATATATATATATAGTGTAATACATATATTTACAGAGTAATACACACACACATATATATGTATATATACATACACACACACACACACACACACATATATATATATATATATATATATATATATATATATATTACGGTGTTAGACATCCCTCTCTCAAAGCAACAAATAAACAAATTAACAAACTGAATTTGTGTGTGTCAAGGTTGTGATGATGCCCTCAGAGGCTGAAAGGGGGCATTGGATACCCTGGAGTTGCAGTTACAGGCAGTAGTGAGCTACCCAATATGGTTACAGAAGCCCAAACACATCCTGTACAAGAACATCAGTCCTCTTAGGCACTCATACATCTCTCCAGCCTCAACTTTGTTTTCCCCATGAAGCAATTACAATTTCACAGTTATAATAATATCAATATTCAATGTGACTTTATAGCATATTTTCTTGCCTACAGGATTCTTGAATCCATGATTCTGAATGTTATCTTTGATTTTTCTTAGTATACCTCTGACAATTATTTATAAGTAAGAAGCAATGAAGTCCTATTTTTGGAAAATGTATTTCTCAAAGCTTATAGCTTGAGGATTTAAAATCTTGAGGCTTGTATCTTTGAGCCCTCATTACTAAAATCTCATTGATTATCTATCTATCTATCTATCTATCTATCTATCTATCTATCTATCTATCATCTATCTATCTACCTAACATCTATCTATCTGTATCTATTGATAGAGGCTCATTGCTTTCAGCTGTGAACACTGCAAGTCCAGCCGAATATAAGTTGACCTCACACTGTAAATTCCTGGTACCCTTGGGAGGTTCTGTATGTCTCCTTTCCTGCCTGTTTCTTGTTTTATGTATGATTGGCTGTCATCTTATATAATTAATTTTTATACATTTTCTATTTTTAACTTTACAATATTTTTCATTTCCTTCTGCTATTTTTGATCTTTCACATTTAAGGATTCCTCCACACCCAAATCTCTTCTCTTTCCAGTTAATTCTTCGTTAACTGTTACTTCATGTATTTTTTTGGCTAGTTGTCATTTGTAATTTCATGTCATATAATTTTTTTAACAATAAGTAACTCTTTGTAACTACCTATTTGTTGTTTAAGAGATGAGATTTACTCATCTATTTGGAGTTTTCCATTTCCCTGGATAATTTACAATCAACACGATATTTTAAGTAGTAGTTCATTGTGAAAAATTTACCCAAGCTCCAAACTAATTGATTTTCCCTGAGGTCTGATAGCATCTCTGCCCACCTACCTGTTCTTATTACTAATGAGTTTTATCATTGGTTTGTAACTTAGTTTGTGGTTTGTTCTTTTATGATATTTTTGTCAGGGAATACCTTAGCAAGTCCATATTACAGATATAAAGAAAGGCAGGAATCAGTGAAAATTGCATTAATTAATTAATTAATTAATTAATTAATGTCTTTAATTCCTATTAGGAAGCCTTGTCCCTACTTTCCTCATCTTAGTACACTCTAGACAACTTTAAATTTCTCAAAAAAATTGGCTTTTACCATATTGTCAAACAATTATTTCTAAAACATATTCCATAGACAAGTGCAAAAACTCATAATTTTTTTTTGCAACCCAGAACCCAGTGCTTTCTGTGAGTTTTGGTACAGATAAGGGGTAATATGATATGTCTAGTTTAAAGTGACATAGATATTGACGGCTGCTTAAGTTGGTTCCACAAGTAAAAGTTGATACTAACAACAAAACAAGGAACTGGAAAAATCTCTCAATGGTTAAGTGTGCTTACTGCTGTTTATGAGGACCTAAGTTTGATTTTCAGCGTCCATGTCTGATGGCCCACAACCACTTGTAACTCCACCACCAAAGGATCCTACTGTCTCTTTTGGTCTCTGTGGCTAATGCACTCATATGTTAATATATACACATGAGTTTAAAAATAAAATCAATAAACCTGCAATAAAATATAAAACATAATAAGAATGCTTCTACATTTTTTTGGTTTTGGTTTTTGGTTTTTTTGAGACAAGGTTTCCATATGAAATAGCCCTGGCTGTTCTAGACTTGCTTTGTAGAACAGGCTCACCTCAAACTGATGGAGATCAACCTGCCTCTGCCTCTAGTGGGCTGATTAGGGGTGTGTACTATCATGCCTGACTAGCTTCTGCTTATTCTTTTTTTTTAAAGATTTATTTATTTATTATTTATATGAGTACACTGCAGATGTCTTCAGACACACACTAGAAGAATGCATCAGATCCCATTACAGATGGTTGTAAGCCACCATGTGGTTGCTGGAAATTGAACTCAGGACCTCTGGAAGAGCTGTAAATGCTCTTAACCTCTGAGCCATCTCTCCAGCCACTCCTTAATTTTAATACCATATTTTTCCATGATTAATTTAATTAAGGTGAGTTTTCTCTTGTCAGTCAACCTGAGAAAAGTACTAAGTGTTTTTGTATTTATACACAATGACCGTCATTATTTGCCATCATGAATTAAATTTACATAACTTGTTTTTTTATAGGGAATTTATCAGTTATTTTATTTGTAAGTTACTTTGGATCCAAACTACACAGACCAAAGCTGATTGGAACTGGTTGTTTTATCATGGGCATTGGGAGTATTCTGACTGGGTTGCCACATTTCTTCATGGGATAGTAAGTATTGCCTAGCCAATCATCAAAGTAGAGTAATTATCTCTTCCACAGAAGCTATCAGCTGTAGCTAGGACCCCAGTAAGAAGTAGGGCCTGGAGATGGTCTACACTATCCATGCAGGAATTATACCTGGTTTGATTGTGTGCTAAGACAAGACAAAGTTCTCAGCTCTGAATGCGACTAAAGAGAGAACAGTGGGTGCTGAGATGCCAGGACCAGTTTCACGAACACACACATGCAGACACACACATACACACACACACACACACACACACACACACACACACACACACACTCACACACACACACACACTCACACACAAATACTCACATACAAATATTTAACCTTTGTCACACTTGACATTCACACTTGTCACCATATTAATACCATATTCTTCTTAAAATTGACTGTTCAAAGAATTTTCCCCATTCTGATTTTCATAATTTTATGCTCTTTCAATTTATTTCTCTCTGTGTGGCCTCTTCATCATACCGAGACATTACTGTCATGGCTAGTGTCAAAATGCCTGCATCTCTCTATCTTTACCTTCAGTCTAATTCCTGAAATGTATTATATGAAACATATGCCTCAAATTTAGCCATAGTTCACATCAGGTGACTGTTTTAAACACTCAAGGTCTATGTATCGATGCACCATGTACACATTTCCAATGGACATTCACAAGGTTTTCTGATCCATGTATCACAACCTGAACTCACTATATTTGCCAACATCTGCTCATTTTCATATCCATTCATTCAGCTGTGATTCTTACAACTGTAAAAGAATTCAGATCAAAGTCAAGGATGTCAACCCAAGCTGTTGATTTACTGCAGCACAGAAAACCAGCACTCCCAAAGATCTTACCTAATCAACATCCCTTTGTCAATGTAGAAATCCATGTTCTTACCCAAGCTGAAGCCAATAATGGAAATTTTGCTTTCAGTTTTAATTCTATTAGTTTTTGAAGGATTTATTTCTTATTCTATTAGTATGAGTGTTTTGTTTTTGTGGTATTTATGTGCACACATGAATGCAGAGCCTATGGAATCCAGAACAAAGCATTAAATCCTATAGGATTGGAATTACAGTTAGTAAGTCTCCTGACAGGTACTGGGAATTGAACTGGGATCCTAATGAAGAACAACCAAGACTCTTTACTGTTGAGCCATCTCTCCAGCTTCTCAGCTGTACTCTAATTAATACTCAATACAAGAATATGCTTTTAAATGCAAATACCATTTTCCTAATTTTGCTTAAAACTTCTTGTTCTCTAGTACAGATTTTGAAACTTCAGATTCCAGTTTATCACTGGACCAGAAAACCCATTGAGTTTATTGGGACCACCCTCTATTAAGATAGAGTTGAGTAACATAAAATATATGTAGGAAAATATTATCCTGCAATTACATCATTCAAGATATAAATATATTTGTGAGTGGGCATAGATACTGTGGCAGAGATACAAAATTGAGTTAGTGTAAGTCACAATAAAAATTTTGAAAGGTCTCACCTATGGGTTAATCACATGTCAACTCACTTGTGCATGTGTGTTGCTTACTGACCAGGTCTTTGACTGTTGTAGACTCACTTTCCATTCTTCCCCACAGTTGACAAGCAACTGATGAAGCTGCAGTCCTCTACACCTGCAAATGTTTCACTTTTACATGCCCTGGCCCTACAGCCTTGTCTACTGTCCTCTGGAGTCCATCTCAAACTCCTGCTTATCACTACTATTCATGTCACAGTTTCTATACAAGGCAAAGTCTATAACATCCATCCATTCCTAACATCCATCCCTTGAGCACAGCTAATGATCTATTATTTCTTAAAAGGAATGAAAGTCCCTATGGACAAAACCTGTGCATTTTGATTCAGTTTTGAAGTAATGTAGAATGCTTGGTATACACTTGGTGGTCCAGCATAGATTACAGGTATAGTAGTACTTTTCAGGTTACTCTATATGTCCCCATTCTGATTCCATTGCCTTTGTTGCTATTAAATTCTATAAGCTGAAGTGATTAGAATTTATTAAAGTTTCAGAGAGTCAGACATTGGTTCTTGTGTGCATATTCATCCATTACAAAATTCAGCTGTTTTGATAGAAAAGGTAGAAGAATTAGCATGCCTTTAATAGTGATTTGAAAACACATTTCTCTAGCTTACTAAATATTTACTCAACAAGAAGTTTATATTACTGTCATCTTAAAAAATAGATAAGAGAATGATTACACTCAGATAGCAGTTTACAAAATAGAAAGGGGAAGCTAGAATTTTTCCCATCATAAACAAAGTACCATCTGTCACATTAAGGTGATCAGCCACCTTGCCTGAGTGACAATGAATGACCTTAATTACTGGGCCTTTTCCCCATTTTACTGTTACTTATTATTTGTCCTAAAATTGAGGCTTGAAAATTATCAGAGGATTCTCACTGACATGGAAAAGATAAAGATACAATCAATAGTTTCTGAGGAAAGTGAAAATTCTTGGTATATAAGCAAAATGTCAAGGATAGTGATGTCACTATAGTTACAGGTATGCAACAGAAATTGACATTGGCTCTTTTGGCAACTCCACATTGACGTGTTTAAACAATCAAATGATATCACTCAATGGAACACCACCTGAGATAGTGGAAAAAGGTAAGAATTAAGAGTAACAGTGACTAATATTTGAAAGTTTGTAAATAAACTATTCAAATTTTTGTAAAATGTATCAGCAAAATTTGATTTAAAATAATGCTTCATTTGACTTTGATATACAGATATAATCATAGTGTAAACATGATATAGAATTAGAATTTAGAAATAGATGAAGAAGAGCTAAGGACTATTTCAGCTAGAATTTGGGAAGAACATTTGCAGGTAAAATAAAGGTATGAAAACTGACTGTGCATATGTCTGAAATCCCAGCACAAAAGTGTTGAAGCAGAATGATTGTGGCTTTGAGTCCAACCTGAGCTATGTAGTATGCACCAGTGTCAACAGACAATTGAAGCAAGCAAAAAGGCATTGTATAAACAAAGGAGAGGTTCTTTTGAAAATAAAAATAATTACTGCGATTGAAAATTTAAAAATATTCTATTAAGAAAATATACGTTTAACACTCTAGATCGTTCTACCTATTGTATCAGATGTGGGAAGATTAAAATTAAAAAATAAGAAGTTAATTCTTTCTTATTTTTTGTATTAATGTGATTGAATAAATTTATCACCATTTCTGGAAGCTGTTCTTTTAACATTTATTAAACAAAAATTACTAAGTTTTTGTAATTCTATTGTTATTGATCAACCCCAAGGAAATAATCAGTAAAGACATATTTGTCATTATAACCAAGACATCTCTTTGTGACAGAAGGAAATATTTAAAGTATTTTACAACTATAAATACAAAATTAGGGTCTAGAAAAATGGCTCAGCAGTTAAGAGCACTAGTTCAATTCCCAGCAGTCACATGATATGTCACTACCAAGTATGACTCCAATTTCTGGGGATACAACACCTTCTTATGGTCTCAGACAGTACTGCATGCATGCATGTGGTACACATACATATGTAGGCAAAACAGGCGAAATATTCATATATATATATATATATATACATATACATATACATATACATAAATTGAAGGTACTGTGTATATTCTGAAATTGTTATTTCTTAAACATGATTAAAATTTTAACACAAATTAAAACAAAGGGAAAATAAACATGGATATTGTCTTAGCACCGTGCTGGCAGTCAAGCTGATACGTAAAAGTGAATATTTAATTTTTGTGGAATTTCTGGTTTCAATACTGTAATAGACATTTAAAGTAAAACATGTTTTTGTCTGCACAGGTTGTGTAAAGGGGTCCAGGTCATACATGTGGATTTATGTCTTGATGGGGAATATGCTTCGTGGGATAGGGGAAACACCAATAGTACCCCTGGGAATTTCCTACATTGATGACTTTGCAAAAGGAGGACATTCTTCTATGTACATCGGTAAAGTACAGAGAATATTATGTTCAGTGCTTAAGTGTTCTGGGTATAAATTTGAAATGGTAGCACTGCTAAACTAATCCTTTTCATTTTTATATTTTATGTATATGAGTATGTTACCTGCATTTATGAATTTGTCCCTAATGTATGCAGTGTTCAAGTTGGCCAGAAGAATCTCTAGTGCTGCTCTTAAAAACTGAGATATCTCTCCAGATCCCTAAGTAAATTAAGATTTCTACAAAAATATTATTTCAATAAATTCATTTTGTAACATTACATTTTAAAAACTACTATATAAAAATCATACATTTACAAGTTCAAGGTGGACGAAATCCCAACATGTAAATGGGAGGTAGGCACAAAGTCCTGTCCTTAACTAGGAGCAGTTAGCAACTGATAGATATTGGGGGAAGGAGATTAAGGTTTTTCTAACAGTGTGTTCTCTGATGGGTTGACCATGCAGTGTTGACAGCCATCTGCAAGAGGATAAAACTACAGTAGATGAGATTTACAAACCTGGTTGGGTAAAAAAGTGTGAATGCATCTGGGACAAGTGGAATATAATTAAAATTTGTTGTGTAAAGAAAAATATAACTATGTGCACTTTGGTTCTGATTGAATGGTTTTGAATATTTACAGGTACTCTGCATAGTATAGCAATGATTGGACCAATCCTTGGCTTTATCATGTCATCGGTGTTTGCTAAACTATTTGTAGACGTTGGATATGTAGACCTGAGTAAGTAGAATTAGAAAAAGACATCAGAAGGCTGTTTTTCAAATTCCAATTACCATGCCTTCAGGTTACTGGTTTAGTTCATTCAATAATTTAGTTACATAATTATTTTCTTTTATAAATTTTAAGTGGTAAGAATGTGTTCATTATTTTAACAAAACAAATTCCATCTCTTGCTTATGTCAAGCTTCTACCAGTAAGTATAAAATGTGGCATTGGTGATAATCTTAATTTAGGTGAACAGATAGAAAATACACTGATTATTAAAGAGCTGAATCATCTGCACTTTCACTTGGTGGTAGATTGGGTTTAGAAATGGAATTATAGAGTTAAGCTTATGGATGATGTTGTGTGCTTGTTCTATTGGAGGAAGGTTGGAGTAATTGAGCCTCTTTATCATGTGTCTTAGTTTTGATGTTTTCCATGGACCTAACAGAGGGCTTGGCATATGGTCCCCTTTAATTAGAAGATGAAGGGATTCATTCTAAGTGACCCTTCTGGCTATTCTTTTCCCTCAAAGCAAGCATTCTTTCATACTTCAGAAAATCTGACCAAAGTGTGTAAATTGTCTTATCTTCAAGCCCTCCTTCCCCTAAATATCACATCTCTCATCTGCCTCAACCCAAAGTCTGTAAGAATATTTTCCAGCATAAGCTAATTCTTTTAGACCTGTCTTAAGTGTTAGGTCTTCATCTTGCATCAAGACCTCGATCTATCAATCTTCCACCAGATCCCTCCCTGGAGAATCCCCTTCTCTACCCTCTCTTTATCACAAAGCACTCTCCAGTGTCTTCATTATTTTGCATATATGTTTTCTTCACGTCCTTAAACAACTTTGTGTTTGGTTTTCTTTTTCTACTTCTCTTCATAAACAATTATCTTGAAAGAAAAATCTGAATTTAGAAGACATTTCATTTTCCCCTTCCAGTACACTTCTCAGAGATCATCTGTTTTCAGTGGCTCATGAAACAGTCAGGTAACTTTTTCAAAACTATTTTCTCACTTTTTCTACTTTTAGATATCTAAATGAACTCTTGGCACTCAACTTAAAAAATACAGTGCTCACAGTATGACTCTAAAAACTTATGATGTTTGGTATAGTCTTTCTCTTAATGAATTTCTTAACCTTAATTGTATAATTTACTTAGTTTTTACATAACCTTCCTTCCATGTAATCTGATAACAGCTACTGCCTCATACTTTCATAATGCTTCAGGAATATTTGTTATACAGAAGTATTGTTAATGCTTACATCCTTATAGTAATTTCAGACTAGAGTTCAGTTTGGCAGCCAGGCTCTTCAGAAGTAGACACATGGTTTTCTGTGATCACCTTTATCTTTATAATTTGACTTCCTTTCCTCTCTCCCACTTTTCTGTCATTGATACTCTCTGCAGTAAGCATGACTATTGGTGGTGTGAGTCTCAAAAGATCCTTTCATCTCACAGATATGAACATCTAGTGAAGAATTTTCCTCCCCTTTCCATTAGCATCATTCTGAGACTCTCATCCAACATGTTCTCTTCTTCTGAGATGCGACACTTCACTGATTCCCAACAGAAGCAGAGGCCACCAAATGCGTGATGATCCTTTAGATGTCATAGGAAGAAATCTGTTTCAATATATAAGTAGTCAGTGTATAAACAAATCTGATTTTCTATCTCATCAGGACTCAATGGCTTCAAAGTTATTTCCAAAGTAGGGTTGACATCACAATTGGGCATGAGAAGGCACATGCCTCCAATCATGTTCCTTACAAATCCTTACACAAACACCCTCTCATTCACTTCCAAGTTAACCCTTGTTTTCAAAACTCATAGAGAGATGAGGTAGATGTTTTGTTGTAGCTGGAAAATGTTTTGCTATATTTAGAAATAACTATCTGTATTGTATTAGAATTCTTGGGAAATAGATGGCTATAAGGGGATGTTCAGACCTTTTTGCATCTTTTCTTATTCAGTAATGACTACAATAAATTTGACATGTTTGCATCCTTAGCTAACTCTTGATGCACTAAAAAGTAAGAATTTTCATAACTTTGTCTCCAGACAGCTTCTTAGTACTATAGAAAGATGAGTTTTGCTGTAATGTTATATTTAAAAATTTCAAAATTAAGGTCAGATCACATCTGTTATCAAGAATACTGTTGTAGGTTTAGTGTCAGTGCCAGGGTAGTGTTAACCCTGTTCAGTGAGTCTGGGTGTCTCTTTTTATGAGTACTTAGGAATGTTTTGAGAAGAATTGGAGTTATGCCTTTTCTGAGTGCTAGGCCGAGTAGTTCAGTGAACCATCTAGTGAAAAGCTTTTATTCTGTGTTTTTGCTACTGTGTCCTAAGTAGCCACAGGACTGTCCAGGGTTTCCAACAATTCACCATTCAGCTTCCACAGGTTCTGATATATTTAGGACGTTCCTCATCTTTTAAAGATTATGAACTATCATTCATCATTCACAGGAATGTGTATTTAGAGCTGGAATTAATATATTGTTCCTCTTCACAATGCAGAAGAAATACAGTTGAAATAAGAAGGGCAACAAATTCCTCAGGTTGAAATCCATCTTTTCTGGGTTCCTCTTAAACTCACACATTCACTGTGTTCCTTCCTCAGCTCTTCCATTGTCTGCAATCAATAGGGTTGTATATCCAGCAACTACAAGAGACAGATTGGTGCTCGCCCATTTTTAGAAACAATGTTAACCTTCCTCTGGTGCTATACTGACCTCAGGAGTGGGTACCAACAGCAATTTTCAGATGATAGTGAATGTTCATGCTTTTCTTTGGTTTTCAAGCCATCTTGAAATCTCTTGACCTAGGAGACCAAGAAATTCTCAGGCACTTCTAGCCACACCTCAGACTTTACGTGGATGTTGGTGATTCTATTCCAGGTCCTCATCCTTATATGAAAACAGTTTCTGGCCACTGAGCCATCTTCCTAGACTTGTTTTCTCCATACTAAAAGCAACAAATCTAATATTATTATTTGCTGAATATATATTGTTGATAGTTCTGCATTTGCAATGAAGTCTGTATATAATATATATGGCTGGTTCTTGACAATGGAAGTTGTAAGATGTCATCAAATGATAAATCCACTCCCCACTTCTAAGTTGACAAATGCCTACCAAAATTTTTGCATTTTAGGATGTATAAACTATAGTTTGGTTTCTTTATCTATGGAGGCCAGCAGTCTTACCATCATTGACTTTCAGGACAATTTTTGAAGTCCTGTTCTAATTATTCATTCCAGGCAGTATCCGAATAACTCCTCAGGATGCTCGTTGGGTTGGTGCCTGGTGGCTCAGCTTCATTGTGAATGGACTATTATGCTTTATTTCTTCCATACCCTTCTTTTTCCTACCCAAAATTCCAAAGAGATCACAGAAGGAAAGGAAATATTCAGCATCTCATAATGTACTCAAAACAGATGAAGAAAAGAATCACATGACTTACTTAACAAAGCAAGAGAAACAATCTCCTGCCAACATGACTGGTAAGGATTCCATAGTCAGTCAATATGCAGATATTAATCCTACTGAAAACTGAAAATATTTCAAAACAGTGTGTCCAACTTATCTATTTAGCTTTTTTCTGTACTAAACTTTTGAAACTCATTCTACATTTCCTATTAAAAGTGATATATCCTGTGTTAGTTACTTTTCTATTGCCATGAGAGATACCATGACCAAGGCAACTTATAAAAGAAATCATTACATTTGGCAACTCACATTTAGTAAGAGTTAGAGTCTATGAATCATGATGACTAAGAGGAACACAGCAGACAGTCAGTCATTTTGTAGGACCGTAGCTGAGAACTTAGACCTTGATCCACAAGTATGAGGCAGAGAGAAAGAGAAGGGGGGTGGAATTGTTAACTGAGAATGGCTTAGGCTTTGGAAACCTGAAAGTCTACCCTCAGTGACACCTCTTTTAATGGGATCACCAACTATAACCCAAATAGTCAAACATGAGCTTACAGAAGCCATTCTCTTTCCAGCTATCAGTTCCACGATTGTGTACAAATAATAGGATTAGATTTGTGGCTTTTAGTATGGAGAAAATATGCCCAGAAAGATGACTCAGTGCTTGGAAACAGCTGCTGTATAAGCATGAGGACCTGAGATAGAATCACCAGCATCCATGTAAAGAACAAAGTGTGGCTTGATGTGCATGAGAATGTCATGGGCTCCTAGGTTATCCACCAAGATCCAGGATCATTCTAGATCAATGAAAGATTTTGCCTCAAAGGAATTAGGTGGGGAGTGATACAGAATCATCACTCACTGCACTCTTCTGGACTCTGTGAGCAATTGCCAGAAAACTGTCATGCTCAACTCTGTGCAAGTATACACACACACACACACACACACACACACACACACACACCTCTTGTGCTCTCATACATAACACATACACACACCAAATAATAAAAGGAACAAAAGAATCACATAAAATTATATTTATTGTAAAAAAGAAGGAATATAGTTCTTTCAAATATTTTAATTTTTGGTGGTGTTAGGGATCAAATGCCAGGGTTGTGCACATACTGGTTATATGTTCTACAACTGAATGATATACACAGCTTCCTTGTTTCAAAGTTTAGTACAGATCATCAGTGACAGCTTTAAAAGTTAAATTCATTCATTCATTCATTCATTCATTCATTCATTCATTTATAAATGATACCAACCACTGTTTGTGAGTCCCTTGCTTTCTTCCAGGAAGCTATGATTCATTCCAGTGAGTTCCTTGCTACTGATAAGCATGCATAATGTACTCATGTTAAAATTGCCTATCCTTTGATGGACACCTGGATAAAAGAAAAGGAATTCCCAGAAAGGTTTCTTTCTAGTTATTTAGAGTAAATTTTTTTTCTTGGTAATTGTAATGAAAAAAAAAAAAGAATTACCTGCTAAAACATTCAAAAGTGAGCTGAAAACTCATAGTAGTCAAAGTAGTTGGTGGGCATAATTTAAGTAGCATTCTTTCCTGTTCAGTGGTACTATAAATTTCAAATATATGTTCTGAGGATCAGTGCAGATCCACAGAGAAGCTATGGTCAAAAATGTGATTCAGCAACAAGTGTAGAAAATTAATTGAGACAGTGAGGCTTTGATAATAATTTTCAGATTGCAAGGAGTAATGGAGAGCAGGGGGGAAGGGAGCAAATGAGAACTAAGCATATTGAATCAGACTGATGGCAATGCTATAATGAAAGCTATTTATCTGAATTCTAATCTGTGATTTTAATTTAAAATTGGAATGGGTTATCAGAATGAATTGATGAAATAGCAAAAACCAAACTAATGACAGTTACAAAGGTTCTGGGGATCATGAGTTGAAGGCTACTCTGGACTATGAGACCAATGTAAGACATGCTTCAAAACACCACCACCACAAACTAAATCAGTGCAATTATTTGTGATGGTTTGCATTTACTGCCAATTTAATAGACTCCAGAATCACCCAGCAGGCAAGCCATTGGGCATGTTTGTGAGGAATTGCTCACATTAGGTTAACTGAAATAGGGAGATCCCAACTCAATGTGGGTAAAACCTTTCATCTGCTGGGGTTTTAAAACTAAATAAAAAGGAGAGAGCAAGCTGAGTACCCATTCCTCTGTGCTTCTTGACTCTGGATGCTGTATGACCAGCTACCTCTGTCATTATCATGACTTCCATATAGTGGTGCTGTGTGCCCTTAAACTGAGAGCCACAATACATCCTTTCTTTCCTGAGTTTGTTTTGTCAAGGTGCTTTGTCACAACAACACTACAAGTAACTGCAACAAAAACATAACTCCTTAACAACCTTTTCATGTTTACTTTGGAATCAAAGGGCAAGTTCTCAGATGTGTCCCAAGACATTCCTCTTCTTTCATTTCTTCCTTTGATTATCTTCTTCACTCCATCACCCCAACCCAAGGACATTTCTGTGCTGGAGCTAACTATATTGTTTGGTTTATAATTGAGGATAGTTCAGTTTTCAACAAGATTAGTGTATTGATGTTGGCCATGAAAAGATAACATCACTGTTTCTTTTTTTTTTTTTTACTGTAGAAACTAGTAATGATTGAATAAAAATATTCATGAATCTGCCTATAGCAAGATTTCAGATCACTCTGTCTGTTCTATGTATTTATATAATTTAAACTCATACATATAATAAATAGAAGATTAGGGTGTAAGGAATGTTTAAGTTGTACAATTATGTTTTCTTCACTCTTGTTATTTCAAGGCTTTCTACGATCTCTGAAAAGCATCCTTACCAACGACCTATATGTTATATTCGTGATACTGACATTGCTGCAAATCAGCAGCTTGATTGGTTCCTTTAGTTACACATTCAAGTTTATAGAGCAGCAGTTCGGCAAGACAGCATCCCAGGCCAACTTTATGTTAGGTAAGACAGATTGTTTCGTAGTTTGCTTCACAGATGATGTATAAACTGAGGACATGCCTGCTCCATGGTTTGGTTAAGGGAAAGGTTTTTTTTTTTTGTTGATATTAGTGACAGAATGACCAGACACATATTGAAGGATCCAGAGCAGAAAGAGAAAGAAGCAGACTCAATATGTCTAGCAGCCTGGATCTAGCCAGGGCTATCTTTGAGAGAGGTAAAACTTACAGGGAAGAAAGAATAGAGAAAACAGTCAGAGAAATGAAAGCCAGCATTAAAAAAGAAAAAAATGAAGGAAGCAAGGGGTTGGGTGAGAATATATCAAAATAGCAGGGTGATAGGGGGAATAGGGACATGTAGGAAGAACAGCAAGTGAGCTGGAGTTTATGGGGAGGTGACAAAGGCTAAGGCAAGCTTGAACTTGGCAATGTGTAACAGTTACCTCTGATGCAGAAGGAACTGGGAGGCCAGCATGAGCTCTGGTATTCTAATAGGCAACACTGGTCATCATTTGTTCTTTCTGCCAGTGATAAGAGAAATGGCTCCTTTGGTAGAGAGGAACTGCAAGTTTCTAATGAATACAGGCTTTTTCTAATCACCAGAAATCTTCCTGTAACCAAGTTTGAGGTGTTTTCTGGCTGTTTGGATTGCCTTTTGGAGTGTGACAGATTAGAGATCCCTTTGGATCTGACAAGTGGTTTCCAGAGGATGTCCCCTGGAAAGCTGCACCCAAATATACTCCACCAACGCAGACACAGACATATACATACACATAAATACAAATGAAATAATCTCAAACCAAAAAAAAAAAGGTTTTAGACTGCAAAACTTGGTACATTTTCATTATTTTCTATGGTCAGGTGTCCCTCATAAAATTTATCTATTCAAAGGCAATGTCTGACATCTGTTACTAGGAAAAGAAGCCCTCCTTTTTTTGGCAAGAAATATTTTTGTCATTTCCACATAGAGCATGATCTTCCATTTCCATTTTGGCCTTCAGAAGCAACAGAATTGAATGGTTTATGTAGACACAGCATATTTCATATGGAAAGACACCACAGACGTCTTTCTTACTTAATTACAATGCTTTTCTCTTATTTCCAGGAAGTATAACTGTACCTACTACAGCAATCGGAATCTTTTTAGGAGGATATATAATTAAGAAACTCAAATTGACCCTGGCTGGACTCGCCAAGTTTGCATTTTTCACTTCCTCAATGGCCTATGTGTCTCAGCTGTTATATTTGCCCCTAATCTGTGAAAACAAGTCATTTGCTGGCATAACCTTGGCCTATGATGGGTTTGTATATATCATTTTATCAATAGAATGATGTGTTAACTCCAGTTAGAATCCTATGTGAGAGAACAGTAGGCTGAAACCAGTTTCCACTAAACTTTCAGTTAGTAAGGATCACAATTTATAAATTCCCCAAACAATCACTGTTTAAGATCTCCTAAGATCTCTTTTATTTCTCATTTAAAGACAAAATGGGTGGTGGTGATCATGACATTTTTAGAGAGTTCACAATGTACAATGGGAGCTAGGTCATGGATACCTTTATCCCCCTGGATAAACATACAGCTTTTATAACCAGCAAGGCCTGGGCATTACCTCACTGATTCTCATTACTTAAATGTCAACTTTTGGTGTCCAAAACCTTTAGCCTTCCCCAATACACTCTTGGCTAGGTTGTGAGTGTAGGCAACTTTCTCAGACATGACTAAATAAGCTTTTTCTAGCATTCATGTAAACAAATACCTGTATAAGAGACCAGTTCTTCACTCCAAACATGATTTTTATTTTCTGTGAACTGACCCTGCTACTCACCAATGTAATTAGTCACCCTGATACTCCAGGTGTAAAGTACCTTTCTTTTCTTCCTGGCATTTCTGCTTCCTAAGGCTGTGCAGACCCCTTATCATCTCCTAGCTACAGCTAGAAATTTAACAAGGCTCTTAAACCAGTAACATGCACAGATCTCTAACCAAATTTCTCTAGTATCAGAGTTTTCTGATTTTTCTTCTTTTCCTGTCCCTCCCCTCCTCTCCCCTGCCCTCCCCTCCCCTCCTCTCCCCTCCCCTCCCCTCTTCTCCCTTCCCCTTCCCCTGCCCTTCCCTCCATCCTTCCATGTCTGTCTCTCTTTGCTGTGTGTCTATCTATCATATATCTCCAGAATGAACCCAGTGGACTCTCACATAGATGTACCACTTTCTCATTGCAACTCAGACTGCAGTTGTGATAAAAATCAATGGGAACCCGTCTGTGGGGAAAATGGAGTGACTTACATTTCACCTTGTCTGGCGGGATGCAAGTCGTTTCGTGGTGATAAGAACCTGAATAATATGGTGAGTATCAATTTTTATTTTCTTACCTCTCCTTGCTCATAACTTCACATTAAATTTCACACTTACTCATCACATCTTTATAGAACTAAGGTCTCCAGTAAGGAATCTAAAATAGGTTCCTATATGATCTACATTTGTTAACAATGGAAGGTTAGCAATAATTCACATGAAATACTGCTTGGAAACATCAGATTTTTCTGTTCCTTGAATTCGATTTTAAGATTACTTCACTTGCAATTTTTCATTTTCAAGAGTTATAATATTGCCTTTCAAAACCTGGATGTAGTTAGGATTTTGAAAACTCCTTCTATGATACAAGCATCTGTCATAATTGGTAAATACTTTATACCTCAGAAGCTAAAGATGAATCGATTTTAGGGTTTTTTGAATTTCTTTTTTTTCATTTTATTTATTGGTTATTTTATTTATTGACATTTCAAATGTTATCCCCCTTCCTAATTTCCACCCAACAAACACCCTTATCCCTACCTCTACTTCTATAATGGTGCTCCCTAACTGCCTATCCACTCCTGCCTCAGCATCCTAGCATTCTCCTACCTTGGGTCATCTAGTCTTGACAGGACAAAAGAGCTCCCCTCCCAGTGATGCCCAATAAGGCAATCCTCTGCTACATATCCAGCTGAACTCATGGGTCCCCCCCCCCATATGTACTCTTTGGTTGATGATTTAGTCCATGGGAGCTTTGGAGGGTCTGGTTGGTTGATATTCTTGTTCTTCCTGTGGGGTTGCAGACACCTTCAGCTCCTTCAGTCCTTGCCCTAACTTCTCCATTGGGGTCCCTGCTCAGTCCAGTGTTTGGCTGCACCTGCATCTGTATTGTTTAGACTCTGGTAGAGGCTCTCAGAGGACAACTATACCATGATCCTGTCAGCAAGCACTTCTTGGCATCAGCAATAGTGTTTGAGTTTGGTGTCTGCAGATGGGATGTATCCCTAGGTGGAGCAGTCTCTGAATGCTCTTTCTTTTAATCTCTGCTCCAGTCTTTGTCCCTGCATTTCCTTTTCACAGAATTCTAGATTACTATTTTTTAGTTGGGTGGATGGCCCCATGCCTCAACCAGGGACCATGCCTATCCACTGTATATGGTCTCTACAGGTTCTGTCTCCCCTTTGCTGGGTATTTCGGGCTAATGTGCTCCATGTTGGGTCCTAGGAACCTCTTGGGTCCTTTGCACCTGCAACTTTACAGTGGGTACCCTAAGTTCCCCCTCCCTCACTACCATTCTCCTACTTTCAAATTCATGACTCTCCATACTTCTCCCCAAACTCCTCTCATACCTAAATTGCTCCCCTTTCCCCCACCTCTTCTCTCCCTCTTAGATCCCTCTCTCTACTTCCCATGATCATTTTCTTCCCCCTTCTGAGTAGGACTATAGCATTCACACTTTCTTGTGGTCTTCTTTCGTCTTGAATGTTATATGGTCTGTGAGTTGTATCTTGGTTATTCTGACCTTCTTTTTGACTAATATCCACTAATCAGTGAGTACATACAATGTCTGTTATCTGTCACTGAGTTACCTCACTCAGGATGATATTTTCAAGTTTCATGCATTTGCCTGCAAATTTCATGAAGTCTGTTGTTAATAGCTGAGTAGTACTCCATTGTGTAAATGTACCACATTTTCTGCATCCATTCCTCTGTTTAAGGACATCTGGGTCATTTCCAGCTTCTGGCTATTATAAATAAGGCTGCTATAAACACAGCGGAGCATGTGTCCTTGTTATATCTTGGAGCATCTTTTGGGTATATGCCCAGGAGTGGTATAGCTGGGTACTCAGGTAGAACTAGTTCCAATTTTCTAAGGAACAGCCATACTGAATTCCAGAGTGGCTGTACCAGCTTGCAATCCCACCAGCAATGGCAGAGTGTTCCTCTTTTTCCACATCTTCGTCAGCATCTGCTGTCATATGAATTTGTAATCTTAGCTATTCTGACTGGTATGAGGTGGAATCTCAGGGTTGTTTTGATTTGCATTTATCTGATGACTTAGGATGCTCAACATTTCTTTAAATGCTTTTCAGCCATTTAAGATGCCCCAGTTAAGAATTCTCTGTTTACCTCTGTACCCCATTTATAATAGGGTTATTTTGTTCTCTGGATTCTAACCTCTTTAGTTTTTTGTATATTTTGGATTTTAGACTCCTATTGGATTTAGGGTTGGTAAAGATCTTTTCCCAATCTGTGGGTTGGTATTTTGTCCTATTGACTATGTCCTTTGCCTTACAGAAGCTTTGCAATTTTATTAGGTCTCATTTGTCAACTCTTGATCTTAGAACATAAGCCATTGGTGTTCTGTTCAGGGAAATTTCCCCTGTGCTAATATGTTTGATATTCTTTTCTTATTTCTTACTATCAGATTCAGTGTATCTGGTTTTATGTGGAGGTCCTTGATACACTTGGTCTTGAGCTTTGTACAAGGAGATGAGAATGGGTCAATTTGCATTCTTCTACATGCTGACCTCTTGTTGAATCAGCACCATTTGTTGAAAATGCTATCTTTCGGCCGCCGTGAGGCCGGACAGGAGGGTTTTGGCTCCTTTGTCAAAGATCAAGTGACCAAAGGTGTGTGGGTTCCTTTTTGGGTCTTCAATTCTACTCCATTTGTCTTCCTGCTTGTTTTTGTACCAATACGAAGCAGTTTGGTATTTTATCATTAATGCTCTGTAGTAGAGCTTGAGGTTAGGGATGATGACTTACCCAAAAGTTCTTTTATTATTAAGAATGGTTTTAGTTATCCAGGGTTTTTTGTTATAAAGATAAAACTGAGAATTGCTCTTTCTATCTATCTCTGTGAAGAATTGAGTTGCAATTTTGTTGGAGATTGCATTATATTTGTATAAAGATAAATCTTAAATCATCATATAGATAAGACTTACAATTTTATTGACTTTTATGATTCTAACTCGGGGCTCCCTGAACTTTTGACTCCTCAAGGAACAGTCCTGACTTCATGTTTGCCTGATTGTTCAATTTTCACATGTCAATTCACAAATTTCCCAAAGTTAGCTCTTTACTCAGATAATCTAGCATCTATTTCACATATAACTATTATATGCCGTGCCATGACACCTTCTTTTTCATTCCAAACACACTTTTCCTTGTGACCTGTGAGTAATCCTTAGTCACCAGCTGGCTCCAAAGCATAGAAATTACTTATGGTTTTGCATATACCACTAGTCTATTCAATATCTCACATAGTTGAGAAATATTCTTTTTTACTTTTACATAATCCAAACATTGGGTATACAAACAGTTATTGTTTTATGGTTTTGAGACAGGATCTCTAAAATTAGTCTGTCTCTGAACTCAGGATCCTTCTGCCTCATCTTCTTAAGTACTGGAATTAAAGGTGTGCACTAACACACTTGGCATGATCATGCTTTCCACTACACCTTGTGTGACTCAACTCATTCATATAGCTGGTTCTCATTTCAGGTGTTGGTTGCTGTCAAACTGTCAAATGCTCTCATTTCCTGGATAAGTTTTCTTAATGGCATGTGGTTGACCAAGAGCAGTAATTTTTATGTAAATAAGGATGCAAAACTAATGTAGAAAGAAAATGTGAGAAGACAATTATGAAAAAGAACTTGTTTGAGTGAAGAACCTGTGAATAGTTTCAGACACTGATTTATTCAATTATTTTATAATGTAGAAATTGAAATGAATTAGGAATTAGGAAATTTCATTTTCTTGGGCAGAAATAAATACAGACAAAAGTTTTGTTTTTCAATTCTTAAACAATGATGCTATTGGAAGTTTTAAAATCTGTAAACACTTTTGCTAGAATGGAAGAACTGTTTAAAAATATAATGGGATATATTTATAGCACATTCCTGTTTTGCAAACATATTCTATAACATTTCAAAAACTGTCTTTTAGGAATTCTATGACTGCAGTTGTATCAGTGACACTGGTTTCCTGAATGGAAACCACTCAGCGCGTTTAGGTGAATGCCCAAGAGACAAATGCAAAACCAAGTATTACTTTTATATAATTTTTCAAGTCATTTTGTCTGTTTTCACTGCAATGGGAAGCACTTCTTTTATGTTGATTCTGATGAAGTGAGTATACTCTTTTTTTATGTACATGTATGTGCGTTTCTCTGTGGGATGCATAAGTGTATGACCATATAGAAGTCAGATAATTATCTCTGGAATCAGTCTTCAATCTCCTTCTACCTCCACTGTGGAAGGCAGATGATCCACCTTTGGACTTTCAAGGATCTGCTGGTCACCTCTCAGATCACAAATGGGGACACAGATGACTTCTCCCCATCTTGAGTATAAATTGTTAAGATATCTTTATTAGTCATGTATATTCGATGATGAATATATTTACTGACTTCTATTGTCTATTGCTTTAAACCCTAAAACCACCAAAAGCTAAAGTGTTTTGAAAGGAGACGTAGTTGATTGACTGGGAGTGCTGGGAAGATGGTGGGACACATGCAGTGGGTGGTCAGGGAATCACACAGGTCCTAGCAGCTCCATTTGACTAATTCACCCACAGACACATTTAAAAACAATATTATGTAACATATGAATGTTGATTGTCAAAAATGTATTTATTTGAGTATGATAACCTGGGATAATATCTCTTTAAATTTTTGAATTCCATGTTGATTAAAAGTCCCCAAAGCCTAAGCGAAAGGAAAAAAGGTTTCAATTGTCATTAAATTAGGATAGACATTTAATTAGCATCTACACTTGTTTAAATTCTATTCTGACCAAATATTACATTAAGGTGTTTCCGACGATCAGTTAGTCCTGTTAAACATAAAACGTTATCTATTTGTATGGAAAGTATTTCTTACTTATGAAAGATTCACTAAGATGCACAATATGTCCTCAGAATTCATAGACTTATGATAAACAAAAATATTAATCTGAAATGCCCAAGAAAGGTTTCAGAACTTTTAAAACTTAACTTCCAGTGATGTGGATCAGCCAGGAAATAAAGAGAGCTTCATCTTTCACAGATAGTAAGCCTAGCATCATGTGACTGAGCTACCTGTCTGATTGCGGTTCTGAGGAGTCACTTAAAAATCATCCCTTGAAACAATGTAGGACCATTTTCATGAAAGAAGATAATGGGGAAAGAGTTTAGATTTAATTTACTGCATCAAGTAGATATTAATACAAAATTAAATAATTTGGAAAACACATCTAGCTTCTTGGGTTTATTATTATTATTATAAAAAATAAATTCTGTGGCATGTACACTATATTGAGGTACTCCACCTGAGAAGTGAGGTAGGAATTTTACTTACTGATAAGTGCACTATACTATAATGCATTCACCAATGCACACTCAAGTAAGCACACTGGTGAGTGGGCAAGCAGCTAGAGTACAAGGCTGTGGCTAGGGGTGAGTGTCCATGACTATGAATGGGGCTGTCTACGTCTACATATGTGTGTGGCTGTCTATGCACAGCATTCTGCCACAGCTTTCCTTCCTAAAAGTTGTTGGAGGTGTCCAGCCCACTTTGAAGCAAGCATTAGTCCTGTCAACAAGCCCTCCCAATTCCCATGTAAGCTAAGCACTCTCCTGGGATGAAAATGCACATGGATTACAAAACTCAGTTCCATGTAGTGTTTCTAGAACAAAACCCAAATCTACCCTATAAATGACAACATCACTGAGGTACAAGGACTCAAGCAGTGAAAAAAAAAATACCATCTCTTCCTCTCAAAATCCCGCTTGATAAGTCTGAGGTTTGATAAAGATTTCAGTGACCAAGTCAAATTCCACTTCCTGCTGACTTCCTTCATCTTACTTACAAAATAAACAAAACACAATGGAAAACAAAAGACCTGTCTCCTAGAATTATAAACATAGCTTTCTGGCCCTTGCTGAGCTAACACCATCCTTCACCAACCATTCTGCATTTACTGTCTCCTAGTATATAACCATAATGATTTAAATTTTTATTATACACTGTTTAATGTATTCTCTCTTTAATTGTATAAGGTCCCAGAAAACCTTATTCATTTACTTCTTCATTTACTTTTGAGACAATTTTCACTATGTTGCCCAGGCTAGTCGTACCCTATACCACTCAAGTGATCTTCCTGCCTTAGCCTTCATAATCCCTGAGGTTAAGTAGGAGTAACCAGCATTCTGGAGCATTGTTTAAAGTCCCTATTAAGAGGTATCTTTCCTGCAAGGATTAAAGATCAGTCACATTTGAAGAAAACTGAAGTTCTAAGTGCTAATACATATGGATCCTCACAAAGCATGAGCTCTTGTCAGGAGAGGTGCAGTGGTTTCTTCCAATTGGCTGAATGACATATCTACTTAACTCTCTGAACAAATCAGCATCAAGTAGTTTTAGATGATATAAAATATATCATCATTCAGTGTTTCAGCAAAAGTATTTAAGCAGGAGCCATATTTCATCCACCCATTTTTTTCCACATAATTTCATTCTCATCAATATGAATGAGATATTTATATAAGTAAGGGTGTTTCCAGCTCACTAATTGTGGAAAGATCAAAATAATTCCATAACTATTCCATAAATATATTCCATAAATATGTTTTGTAATTCTTTTTAGGTAGAAGAATGTGTTTATTTTTACAAATATCTTTTTGGAATATTTAAGTTATGTTTTGTTTCTGTACGTGTACGTTTGTATGTATGAGTAGGCCTGGGTGAGCCCATGTAACTGAAGAGGCCAGAATAAAGGGTTTCATCTCCTTAGTTAAAGTTACTAGAGGTTGGGTGCTGTCCAGTGTCGGTGCTGGGAACTGAAAGCTGGTTATTCACAGAAACAAGGATGATTAGTGCCATGCCACTCCCCCAGCCGTGAATGAGTGTGTTACTAACCAAGTTGACAACATGTTCTCTACCTTTAACATAACATTTACATACATTCTGGAAGTCCAGAATGCATAAATTTCTTGACTTTTCTGGTTACAGTGAAACTTTATCTTCAAAGGTATTAGACTTTTCTGCTAACAACAGTCATAGCAGTAAGGAAGCAGGATGTATGCTGAGACCTATACCTAGATAGAAGCATGTGATCTTTTGTCAAGGCTCTGGCTGAATGGGCCACATGAGACCATTGTCTTTGTAGACATCATAAAGCTGAGTACAGATGTTCTTACAGCATATTTACTGAATAACACATAAAATTTAGCCAGGCTTGGTAACTCACATATGTAGGCTCAGCACTTTAGGAGGCTGAAGTAGGAGGGTTGCTTGGAGTTCAGGTCTAGCATGGGCTTAAGAGTTTCAACCTTCTGGACTCTCTTGAAATCATAGCATGGTGAATCCTTATTATTCACTGTCTTGTCTCTTCTCAAGCTGTGAATGATATGTTTGTTACATGTTGGTCATTCCCATGAGGGTTTTCTCCAACCATGAAGAAAAATAACATCAGAAAACATTTTATGTTTCAATTCAACTTACAATTTTGAAAACATTTAAGTGTTAAAGTGTTATTTTTTTTTTTTGCTTTTATCTTATTGCAGGTGTGTCCAACCTGAATTGAAATCACTTGCAATGGGTTTCCATTCACTGGTTATAAGAACACTAGGTATGGTAAATAAATCAAATTCAGGAAACAAATATTTATGCCAAGTTTAAAAGCAGAACATAAATATGTTTTGATTCTAAGGAAAGTTTAAAGGCTTAAGAATCGTTTCTACTATAGTAAATGAAAGGAGTAGGAAACACAAGAAACAGTGGCATGAAAGAAAATTTGATAGTTAACTGCAACATTGAGGCAAGACATAGGAATTGTCTTGTCTGTACAATAAGTTATGTCACAAAGATCAGCTGTTCCTTTTCATTGCAGTGACAGATGCTTCTTTCAGACTGGCAGAGCAAAGGTCTATCTCTATACATAGCAGTTTTAGGTAATGCCTCTTGTGTGTTGAGAGTGTTGGGAATTTGGCCAGTTTAATACTGCCCAGAACAAAACCAGAGGCTGACAGGTTGGTTTTCTACTGTTTGATGTTGGAGGCTCCAGAGCCTTTATCAGCAATTGAGCATGTGAAAGGGAAAGAGAACTCACGCCTAGAATCTATCACCTTGGATGAAGATAACACTTTAATTAGAAGTAAACTCAAGAAGTTGTGACTTTTATGTCAAGACTAGGTTCCTAAGTCTCAAGTTTCTAAATATTCAGAGGACATAACTGATAGAGATTAAGGGAAGCATCTTCCTCTCTTAGAACCATTTACTCCCAAATGTCTGTTGCTTTTTTCACAACTGCTCACATAACATTTGTAGGATTTATATACATTAATTGCTTATACATTTAGAAATAAAAAAAAGTAATATTACTTACCTAGGGATAGGGCAGAAAGCTAATCAGAGGCAAGCACTGATAAAAAGATTTTAAAGATCAGCAAAGGAGTTGGAGGTCTATCCTAGGGATCTTTACAAGCTAAGAAACATAGCCTTCACTGACAACAATGGGGAAGAAATTGTTCATTATGTGTATAGAAGACAGATCCTTGGATACTCAAAGGGAAAAAGAAAAATCATAGAAATGAGAGAAGAGGTTAGGAGGATAAAGAGAAGAAGAGAAGAGGAGAAGGAGGGCCTATCTGCAGTTAACTGTTTATCTCCAGGCTGGAAGGTTCAGTATATACCAGAAGCCCTCTACCACCAAAACCCAAATGAAACTCCACATACCCACCTGCCTCCAGAACCATGGGCTGCATACTTAGTAAGCTTCCTGATAGTCAAAGGAGAAACTCAAGGAATAAAAGAAATTCCTCTAGCATCATAAAACAATAAAGAAAAGGAATTTGTCATCATAGTTAAGATCCATGGCCTCATCGAACCTAAATGTTTCTATACGGGAAACATATACTAAACACCAAACTTCTAATTCAAAGCAACTGTCTTCCACACGATAAGATGGAACACTGTAAAGAATCTCTCAGTACGTTGAACTGAGTAAGTCAGTTGGAAAATAAGTTACTTAAACAGTAAATCCTAGTAATCACCAAGGCTGAGTTTCTTACTTAAAACATTAAATTTGTTTTGTCACACCAGTAACATCACACAGAAAATATATATTGTTGATATGTACTTTTCATTTCTTAAGGGATGGCCCAAATTTTTTGAAACATGAATATTCTAACTCACTTCCTTAGATGAGTCTTTCTTTGGGTAAATTGGCCTCCACTATCAGACCATTGTCAACTACTTGCTCTCAGACAACTGGGATTAGGAGGCTGGAGTGGTAGCTCAGTGGCTGACAGCATGCCGTGCTATTATAAAGTTTAAGGTTTGCTTCTTTCATCATCTCATGTGGCTTGCAACTATCTGCACCTGAATTCCAGTGGATTGATACCCTCTGCACTCACAACCAGGGACAAATACACACATAAAAATTAGTTAAAACAGATCTGTAGAAAAGAAAACACTAATTTTTAAAAAATAAAATCAATAAAATTTTAAAAGTAAAATTTGTTCATCAAAATACATAAGAATTTGAACCAAATTGCTCCTGAATGAGACCTCTACTAACACAATTCTCCAGTCTTTGGTCAGTTTAAGAACCAAATCAATCTCAGAGTTGCTTGAAACAGAAGCAAGAAACAGTTTTCTACACTATGCATGAACTCTGGAGAAGTCCTGCATTGTACTTTTGCACATTATTCAAAAGGCCCATTGCTGAAGGTTAGGACGACACCTAATACCATGCTTTCAGAGCACAAAAACAATATTTACAAGGCCCTAAAGCTGAACCGATTAGAGCACTGCAAAAGATATTTAACATGTACAAAAATCAGTGGGGAGTGAATCATAGAGTCAGATAACACCAAAAAGAGGAGCTATTTTGGACCTAGAAGCCACCATTCCATGGTGAAGGTGAGACTGGACCACAGCTTGTCTGCAGAGAGAGTCCTGGTATAAGAGTTCCATTTTTAGATTTCGTTTTTTCCACCATTGATCATTTTAATTGTATTTATTTTTGATAGTAACTTTTATAAATGTGTAAGTGTACATGCATGATTCTCTGTATATATACCACCTGCCTGCAGTGCCTCCAAGAAGAGAGAATCAGATTCCCCAGAACTGAAATTACAGGTAGTGAACTTCTTGATATAGATGTTGAGACCCACGCTCTGGGGCTTTTAGGAGTAGCAAGCACTCTAAACAATTGACTCACCTCTTCAGTCCCCATTGTTAGTATTCTTCAAATACTTGAACAAGCTTCTGCCTTTATTGAGATTGGGATAAATCCTTTTATTCACTTGTCACGAAGGTACAAGTCCACTCCAATTATTCCAAAATATTCTGGTGAATTAAAAAAAGCTGGCATATGGACATGTCACTAAATAGATTTTAACTAGTTTGTATTATAAGAACATAGCTTACAGGCATGTAGAACTCCTTGTTCATTATGTGTGTTAGGGATAGGGATTGACAACAGATGTGTATGACATTACACATCTAAAGATGGTATAACCTCCAGAAAAATCTATTGATTTAAATTCTTGTATATATTCAAACAGAAACAAAGACATTATCCTAGAAAGTTTTCAGATTTTCATTCTTCACTATGTAGCAATATGATATGACACATAGGTTTATTTCAAATGCTTTACTTCTCATGTTGTAGGAGGAATTCTAGCTCCAGTCTATTTTGGAGCATTGATTGACAGAACGTGTATTAAGTGGTCTGTTACCAGCTGTGGAGCACGTGGGGCATGTAGGCTATATAACTCCAGACTATTTGGGTGAGTTATTATAAATGTACCTCATTAATTGATTTTATCTTTTTATAATTTTTAAATGTATGCAAGTTCATTTATCTACATGTATGTGTGTGCCCCACATGTGCGTAGTTCCCATAGAGATCACATGAAGTTGGATTCTCTAGAACTAGATTTACAGATGGGTATGAGTCACTATGTGAGTGCTGAGGTCAGAACCCAGGTTCTCTGCAAGAGTAGTCAGTGTTCTTAGTCTCTCAGCAATCTCTTTGGCCCCATATATACTATTTTCAATAAAATAATAAATGATTAATGATTAATGTTGCTTTAATGAATCCTTATTTTATATACAGAATTGTAACAGGCAATCTCATTTTAACAGTAGCAGAAACAATAATAAATTTATGTGTATATTTTTGCATTGGATACAAAAAACCAAGGGTAATAACTTGTCCATAGTCATACAACTAAGAACAAAAGAGACGAACTTTTTGCTCAATTATAGTTTTATCTACCAAAACTGTACCCATACCTAAAATATTACTGTCCCTGATTTCTTAACCAGGACATGATAGTCAACTGAGTGTCTGGTTATAAAGTAGGAAAAGGAGGAAAGTTCGTGTTCTGTTCATGAGGACAGAAGACAAATGTATGGTAATTTGAAATCACAAATGGAAGTGATAGTCTTTAGAAAACAGTTCATTGTAAATGTAAATATTGATTAATTATAAAACATATATTTCATAATATATTATGTGTGGTGGTTTTTGAGAGAGGCTTTCTCTGTGTAGACTTGGCTGTCCTGGGGCTATCTCTGTAGACCAGGCTGACTTTGACGTCACAGAAATCCATCTGCCTCTGCCTCTCAAGTGCTGGGATTAAAAGCATGCACCACCATGTTCTGGCTCTAAAGTAAATTTTTAAAAAACTATTTGGGAAGTGCAAATCTCTTTGGCTCATTACCCAAGCTCTTAAAAGTATAACAGAGAATATTAGAGTACTTTTAAATCTCTCTATAACAAAAATTATTTTAAGCAACACTCAAAGGGAAAATACAAAGTAGAAGAAGAAACTGGAGCTAATGATGCAGTCACAAGGAAGTTTTCTAGATCTATCTAGTTCCCCGAAAGAGGAAAATTTAAGTGACCGTGACAAGGAGGGAGAACCACAGAGGCTTCCATTGCAGATGGGTAATGGGAAATGGTACAGGAGGTAGGACAGTCTATCTGTTTTTAGTCTAGGTTGTATGTTACAGTTAGCTGTCTTCCCAACCATTTTCACCACCAACCATAAATGAGAGCGTTGTTGCAAATCATTACCACTGGTGTTGGTGTCATGATGATATTTTTGCCTTGGTTGTGGTGTAACAGTGTTATTGGTGTCATGGTCCTGTTGTTGCCTGGTGTTGTTGTTGTTGGTGGTGGTAATGGTGATGGTGGTGGCAGTGGTGATGGCGATGGTGGTGGTGTTGCCTTGATGGAATTAGTATTATGGTGGACAGTAGGGTGTTTGTTAGTGTCATGTCCAGATCCTGATAATCTTAATACCCAGACATTTCCATGACTGGGTTTGAAGACTTCTCATTATCTTCAAACCATGATTTTTGTTTTTATACCCTTTTTATGTGACTTCTGTTTTGTTTTTCCCTGAAAGTTGGATGTTAATATTATGACAGAAGAACAACTACAACTAATCACCTTGTTATACGGCACAGGGGGAGGATGGTTTTCTGTAGTAATATGTTTGACTCTCAGTATTAATGGACCTAGGTATATGGACTGTGAACCCCTGATGTATTTCTTTGTGCTTTCTCCTTTTGTTGCAAGTAATTGGACGGCTTGGGGTAAAAGATCAAAATGGTCCTTTCTTCCATTAGAAAGCTATAGAGTCAGCCAGAGTTTAATCACTGTGTCTTGTCAGTTCTTTGGAAATAATCTCAGTTTATAGTCCAATGCATAATGTTTGATCTTTTAAATATAAATTCCCTTGTTCCCTTTCTTAAAAAACTTTTAGGTTTGTATACCAGAGATATGTAATAAAAGCTGTACCACAAAATATAAAATAATATTTGTCCCTCCTTTTCTCTAGAATCATCTACGTGGGCTTAGGCATATCTTTAAAAACTCCAGCACTTTTTTTGTATGTTGTATTAATTTATATCATGAAGAAAAAAATTAAAGGAAATGATAACAAGATATTGGAAAATGGAAGAAAATTCACAGATGAAAACAACCCAGAATCTATAAATAAAAATGGTTACTATTGTGTACCTTCTGATGAAGAAAACAGTGAATCACCTCTTTAAGGAAAGAGAAAGACACATCTGTTGCTGTGTTCTCAAACACTCCCCTGGTCCTTTCACTGAACATTTTGAAACTTTACATATGGAGAATCAATAATTCTTTGTATTACAATGAAACAAGCTACAAATCAAAAGAAGCAAGAGCATCCTTGTTAGATTATAGCTGTGTATTTGAAGCTAGGATTGGAATATATATCATCTGTAAAAAAATACTGAATGAAAGTTGGTTACTTTACAATAGAACAACTAGTATTCACTTAAGCATTTATTACTGAATAGAATAAGTAAGGAGGGTAGGATCGACAAAAAGGGAAAAGTAACATAAAAAAATGGTGTCTTTAAAGTAATATCTTCAAAAATCAAAATTTTCATGGTGCTACTCATGCCTGAAGTCTCTACAATGGAGGGTTTCATGATGTGTCATCTTCTGGTATCCATTTTATGTCATATATTTTGCGTAATTATTAATTTAAAATTGTGTTTAATGACACATGCATCTTCTTTGCATATACTGTACAAAACATTGAGAATAAAACAAAGAAATTTAGGAAAATCACAAGCTATAATTATCAGAAAACATACCTTATAATGCATTTTAACTGCCATGCAAATGAATTGGAAAACCCACCACTGAATAAATAAAGCTTCACTCTACCTATCAGTTCTCTGAGATAATTGTGTGGCAGATAGTGGGTGTTAGAGGATATCAGCATTCAACATCACAACTTTTTTGTTTGTCTTTTGTTTCTGATGTGATATATATATATATATATATATATATATATATATATATATATGAAATTAAGACAGAGTGAATGAGAGGAAATATCTTTGGATATTGTATTTTCTAGTGAGATCAGATTTAGTATAGTGGATGGTAAAAGTTGAACTTGCTTTATTGTCGCATACTAAAATATTTTTTCTATTAAATTATCCCTGAAATACTTATCTGTTGCTATAATAGAATACTCTGACAAAAAAGTAACTCAGAGAACAAAGTTATTTATTTTGGCTTGCAGTTCTATACATATAGGGTCCACCCTGCTTGGAAAGACATGTCAATAGCCACAGAAGACAAGGTGATAAGAGCAGGAGAGTATCTGATCGCCTTTCATCCACAACTGGAAGCAGAAACAGAGTGAAAAGGAATTGGGCAAAACTACAAAACTTGAAATTTCCCACCCTGTCAAATTCTTCCTCCAGGAAGAGTCTAACTCCCAAAAATTCCAGCACAATGCCCATAACTGGAGAGCAAATGTCTGAATACACTAGGCATGGGGAATAATTGTTAATGAAACTCTCACACACATATGCACATGAATACTCAAAATTACACATGTATGGAAAGTACATTCCTACACTAGACATTCTGATTCAAAACATCTTTGGCATCATCTGAATTAAGTTCTTTAGCAAATAATCCCTCAGGTGACAGAAGTTTTTGACAGATGATTGAAATGGAAATTTTTTGCTTCTTTGGAGACTCAATTGTGTGATATTTTTCCAGAAACTGTCTTAAGAGAACATGTTTTGCTGAGGCAGACATATAAAAGGATGATTTTGCTGAAGCAGACACATGGAAGGTAGCTTTCCTGAGAACAGATAAATGATGTTTTTCCAGAAGCTTCCTGGAAACGGGCACATGATGTTTTGCTAGAGAGGATGCTTGAAAGGACATGGAATGTTTGAAAAAGGTATAACTATAACCATACAGTGAATGATAGCATGTGAGATTGGTTGACTTTGCTGGTCGTCCTTGGGCATTGCTGATGCTGGTCTTCACTGACAACACTGTGCCATTGGTTCCCCTTGCCTTCTTTGCTGACTTCATAGACAGAAATGCACCAATGAACTTCTTGTGATATGCTGGCAGCTTCTTGCCACTTCTGTGGACTCAGGCAGACTGTTAGAGCCTAGCACTTTCTTTTGGATCAAAGTGCCATTGCTGATTTTTTAATGGTGTTTGTGAGTGGATTGAGTTACAGCTGTTGATTTCTGTGATCTAAATCTACTGATATTGTGACACAGAAGATTAGAATAGCCCCAAAGAACTCTTTCTAATCAGGTTCCCTTCCCCCTTTTCCTTTTTAACTTTTCCTTTCTACTACCTTTGGTGTACTAGAAGGGTTGTAAATGCATTTAAGAACCATCATTAAAGTAGGTTTTTAAAAATATAAGCCTACAGAAGATAGTAGCTTATTTGGATAATCTGAAGCATACACAATATCTGTAATATTCTGTAAAAATGAAGTATACAAGTGTGGTACTGCATAAGGACATTCTGGTTCATGGCTGAGCAGGTGCCTAGAACCCCGAGACTCTGCGTGAGAACCAGCAGGAGTTCGGCGCCCCCTACCCCCAGAATCCAGGGTCCTGAAAAGCAGTAAAGTCTCCATAGAATCACATTTTTCAGTCACATAGGCCAGACTATAGGCTTCAGGCCCTAGGGATTTACATACTAATGAAGGTCAGAGGGTGGAACAAATTAAGCTTGCCTCCCCAGATCCTCCCCCTTTCTCCCTCCCTATATAACTCGGGACTGCCCTGAGTTTTATGGGGGGGGGTACGCCTAGATCCATCCACCATCCGCTATGACAATAAACCCTTTTGGAACCAAGGACTTCCTTGTGTCATTGGGGGCCTGCCACCGCCAAAGCCTCCAGGCTGCTGGAACCATAGATGTTCCTCCCACATGTGGGACCTGTCGCAGCACGTTGAAGCCCCTCTGGGACTCCACTGCAGCAGCCTAAATTTTTCCCTACATTTTGGCGCCCAACGTAGGGCATAGACACCCATGGACTTCAAGAACCGGGCCACCCCAGTCTGCTACAGAACACAGCCGAGCTTCTTGCCCTGCTTGTCCGGTGCTGTGAGGAATCGACTCATTGAAGATTTTGTGCTTCTCTCATGCTGACTGAAGCTGCAGCTGCTTAATCTTTCACCTGGAGGACTGCTGCGTTCCAGACATGAGGACCCACATCTTCAAGCAAGCTGGACAGGCCGCCGAGTCTGCTAAGCAAGTACAGTCTTTCCCATGGGTGCTGCTAGGTTCTCTTTCTTCTTCCGATCCCTCTCCTTTTTCTCGGCTCTGGGTTATCTGGCGTGAGTCCACATGCCCCCATCTCGGTCCTGAGAACCAAGGACTTGAGACCAGTCAGTCTCTGGCCAACTTTTGGTCCAGGGATGCCCAATCCAAGAGCTCTGCACCCCTGTGTAACCAGAGTGAAAATTCTCCATTCCGGGCAGGGCGCAGTGTTGCAGGGAATAAACTCAACCAAGATCCCGTGTGCTCCGGCCATACTGAGCAATAATGCCAGCCTACCAAGTTGTGGCAAACACACGGACCCACAATGCAACAGAGACTCATGCCCATGTGTGCCCATGCATGGGCCTACATCGTTCCCTACATGTGGGGCTGTGGAATCCTGGGTGTTCGGCCATGCCCCCAGAACCCAGAAACCTAGCATACAGCCCCCTTGCTAGGTCACATAAGGCACGAGACTAACAGGTCTCTGCCTCAAGATTTACGTATTACCTAAAAGCCCTGCCCGCTTCCAATATAAGCAAACCCTTTCTGACACTTTTTGGGAGAGCTTGCCACCATCGAAACCCACCACCATGTCAATAAATCTCCACATGTCTCTTGAAATCCTGGACTCATTGTGTAAGTGGAAAACCCTCGTGGTGGGGTTGGGGGGAGAGAAGTCTTTTCCTCCCTCCCCAGTGCTCTCTGCGCTCTAGCGGGCTGTGTGACACTTTCTCCTGACAACAGCGGCTCGTACACTGCCTTCACGGAGACCCTGGCCTGCACCATGTCCCCCGTGCCCAGCGTCTCTGTAGTCACTGGCAGCGTGTGGGCTGTTCAAGCCGCACTGCGCAGGTGAGACCAAACCATTAACAGAAAGTGCTGAGAGCTGCCCTGCGCCGCCACCTGTGACCCCCAGGCGTGAGCCTTGACCCACATCTAGCATGCCAATGTGGACCACCAACACCCATGGACTCCAGGAATGAACGAGTCACTTCCAACGAGACGCGGTGTCTAGACTCCTGTTTTCCCAGCACACACCGCTGCTGCATACGCTGTCTTGCTTCTATTTTACTGCATGCCCACAGACCCTTAAAATAGAGGCCGAATCGGCATGCTGGTGTGTTCAGACACACAGCCACACACCCCCACAATCTCTGCCATGCTGTGCTCTCCCTCCGTGGCGTTTAGGGTCCAGAGCAGAGAAACGAGGGTCTTACACCCATGCCCGCTGAGATCTCACTAGTTCATTCCTGCCCAAACACCAAGCTTTCTGCCCCGGTTTCTCCACTGCAGTGATCTCCGCCTCCCTGAGACATTTGCTCTAGACAAGAGACATAGACAACTCCATGTCCACTCACTCCCAAGGCACACGGGCCACCATCTGTCCCCCAGTTAGTGGTGGACAATGTGCGCAAAGCTAGCACAGAAGCTCTCCCCGCTGGCGCCTGCAAGAGCTGTGAATTACATCTCTGTCCATCCATCTCCACTTACACTCTCTCTCCTTCTTGTGCTCCTGGCTAACATCTTTTTTTCTAATTGTTAACTACAATCTAACTTCTGCCTAATTCAAAAAACTAAGTTTCTTTCTCCACGTGTTCCCTACAAGATGTTGGAGACTCCTTAATCTCCATTCTTTACCCCCCCCAAAATCTCCCGTGCTCTGCCTGCCAAGAGGTTTGCCCCTCCCCCAGGGGTCAGCTTTTCGAACTCTGCCTAAAACTCCAGGCTGAGCCAAGAGAAACTGCTGCTGCTTGTTTTCCCCTCCCCCTCTGACTGAGAGCCGCCAGCTTCTCCCAAGAGCTACTGTGTTTGCTAGCTTCCAGGTGTCTCCCCACAATGGCTCAGTTTCACGCAGCCTTTTACTCCTTCTGACTTTCCTACCAAACACCCATATTTCTTGCTTTGAGCTTTTCTTCAAGATTGGCCTTTTTTTTCTACATTTTAGATTCCTAAGAAAAACAAAAGGGGGAATTCC